TGTTATAAATCATAGTGGATTGTCATAACCAGTTCTGGTCCAGTATAGCCCGGTCCGACCCATCTATACTTAGTCATAGGGTAATTTTCTTTTCTCTTTAGGAAAAGGAAAGTAATTTTCTTTTCTCTTTAGGAAAAGGAAAGTAATTTCCTTTTCTCTTAGGAAAAGGAAACTTCCTTTTATCACATGTATTGATCCTTATATAAAKGATACTTGATTAATGAAAGAAGATACGAATTTTCCCATTCTCTTTCTCTCTATTCACAACAAAAAAAGAATTGATGCAAAGAATTGTATAAATCATTGTCCGAAAGAGTCGTAGTTTTCCTTAAATGGACTACTCACAGTCTCACATAAATATCAAATCTAATTTTTTTTTTTTGGTTTGAAGATCTCCAAGTCAAAATTTCGTATCTACGAAAGTCTTCATTACTTTCTAGAAACTTTTCATTTTATAACACAATATTCAAAAAATTTCTCAAAAAGCAACAATGTAATTTACCAATCGAATACTATTAGTTAGGGTTATGAAAAAGAGAAGCATGGTATAATCGTACTACTAAGAAACACGAGAAAATGTGTTCTTTTTTAAATAAACATTTGTTTCTTGTAAAATATGATACATCTAACATTGTTAATGATAAAATTCAATCAATACAAAAATAAACATATCAAAGAACCGATCTAAAGAGCTTAATTACCACCATTTGTTTTGCGTCAAATGGGCCGTACCTGGGCCATAAAGGCCGTGAAACCACGCCTATAAAAAAGAATGTCGTAGAAGGGGCTAAAACAGTAAATGCAAGCGGTCAAAACCCGCCAGTGAAAACAATCCAACGGCTGAAAAGTATTTCCTTGGAGAAGAGGCGAAAATATCTCACCTCCTCAACAAAAAATCAAGCTTTCTCGAACCTACTATTATTATCTTCGCTCCCTTCCTATAAAACCAAAAAAATAAACCCCAATTCTCTCTTTATCGATCGATTCTCTCTTCTTCAACAATGTCTTCCTTGACCACCAAATTCGCTGGTAAAAACTCAAATCTCTATCTCCTTTATTCCGTTTATCGATTTTGTTCATATCGTTTTTTTCCCTGTTTCGTAGTGTTCTGCTTTTGATGTTTAATTTCACTAAGAAGATTTTGGATGTTTGAGCGATCTGCGTATACGAATCTTGTTTGAAGAGTTGATTGAATTTTCGATCTCGTTGTTTGCAGATGAGTTGATCGCTAACGCTGCTTACATCGGAACACCTGGAAAAGGTATCCTTGCGGCTGATGAATCAACCGGTACAATCGGAAAGCGTCTCTCAAGCATCAACGTCGAGAACGTCGAATCGAACAGACGTGCTCTCCGTGAGCTTCTCTTCACTGCTCCTGGTGCTCTTCCTTGTCTCAGTGGTGTTATCCTCTTCGAAGAAACTCTCTACCAGAAGAGCTCTAATGGTATATAAATATCGGATCGCGTTTCTTCGCTCGTTGTGTATGGTTTGCTTAGTTGTTTCTTGGTTGTGTACAGGGACGCCTTTTGTGGATATATTGAAGGAAGGTGGAGTCTTGCCTGGTATTAAAGTTGACAAGGGTACCGTTGAGCTCGCTGGAACCAATGGTGAGACGACCACTCAGGGTCTTGATGGACTCGGTGACCGTTGCAAGAAGTACTACGAGGCTGGTGCTCGTTTCGCGAAATGGCGTGCCGTCCTCAAGATTGGTCAGAACGAGCCTTCGGAGTTAGCTATCCATGAGAACGCTTATGGATTGGCTAGATACGCAGTTATTTGCCAAGAGAACGGTCTTGTACCGATCGTGGAGCCTGAGATTCTTGTCGATGGGTCTCATGATATTCACAAGTGTGCAGCGGTGACTGAGCGTGTCCTTGCAGCTTGCTACAAAGCCTTGAGCGATCACCATGTCTTGCTCGAAGGAACGCTCTTGAAACCGAACATGGTGACTCCTGGATCAGAGAGCGCCAAGGTTGCGCCAGAGGTGATTGCAGAGCACACAGTCCGTGCCCTTCAGAGAACCGTGCCAGCTGCTGTTCCGGCTATAGTGTTCTTGTCGGGTGGACAGAGCGAGGAAGAAGCGACAAGAAACCTGAATGCGATGAACCAGTTGAAGACGAAGAAGCCTTGGTGGCTGTCGTTTTCGTTCGGAAGGGCGTTGCAACAGAGCACGCTCAAGACATGGGGAGGGAAAGAGGAGAATGTGAAGAAGGCGCAAGAAGCGTTCTTGGTTAGGTGCAAGGCTAACTCTCAGGCCACACTTGGTGCTTACAAAGGTGATGCTCAGCTCGGTGAAGGTGCAGCAGAGAGCCTTCACGTTAAGGATTACAAGTACTGATGATGAGGATGGAGCCTTAAGGATCGTTGGTTTTTTTACTTGAATCATTTTCGTATCGCTTTCTTAAGTTCCTTGTTTGGTGTTTTTGTTTAGAAGCGTTGTTACCTGTTAAACCTTTTTCTGAGTTGTGCTTGTTTTTGTAAAATGAAAATTAATATCTTGTCTGCTTAACAAATAAGCCAAAAATACTCATTACCCACACTTAAGAAAATCAATCGAAGTCAAAAAAACAGTGTTGGGTCAACAAAATTGAATGGGCTTTCGACTGCAGAGCCCAAA